AACGCATGTAAATAACTTTCGCCAATTGCACGTAAGAAAACATAAAGAAATGGCGCTTACAATATGTACATTACGACTCCTATTGACCAAAGATCGCACGACTTGTCATATTTCTCAGCTCCAAGCACCTGAACAAGTGAGAGTAAGATATTGAACTATAGCAATGACATAAATGCCTACCTCAGGAGCGCAGTAATATGGTGTATAGCAAGCAGTTGCTAATCCAAGCGGTTCAGATTCATCCGTTCTTTTCGCAAAGCCAAAATCGGTTAACTTTAATTGAGCATGAGTGCTGTTGTCTCTGTAGAAAATAGTGGATCAGAAGTATATCAGTTTGAATAAAACAAGCATGGACCAAAATGAAATGCGTACACATAGAGGAGGTTTTCCGGTTTGATATCTCTGTGCGCAATATTCATTTTGTGCAGATGAGCAACAGCAGAGCAAATTTCGAACATTATGCTGGCAGCTTCTCTCTCTGTGAAAGCTTGCTGACCTCGCTCCTAAAATCATTGTTAGAAACATATAAGGACCTTGTCCAAGTATACAGCGTAACACCAAAAAAATGCTTAGAGCAGGAAACAGTTTAGCAATAACTTGTACCTGTATACGATTAAATAACTCTCCTCCTTTCATACTTTCCATTACTACAAGGAGACATTGCACATTATTATAAGAATTCTCATAAACATCAACGATTTCAACAATATTTGGATGTCCGCTTGCCATGTAGTGAAGGTCAACCTGAAAAGTCATTTTTAGAAAAAGGCTTTCATATTCCTCCTTGACAGCCACAACAATTGCTATTACACAGCGATCTGAAGGTATGTCACGTAGGCAATTCAAAAAAGGTTTAAAGCCACCATTAGAAGATTGTTCTGATTAATTCCCTAACTTACTATCTCAATATCATGCATTATGTAAGCTAAAAACTTGTGGCGCGATCATTATCCTAACATCTAATATCTAGCAGCTAACAGACGTAAGAGGAATGCATTAAACAAGGAAAAAATAAGACTTATTTTGGAACACCTACCTCCCTCCTAGCTTTCGGTACATCGCGAAGCACTTTGAGAGCATACTTCTCTCCAGTGATTCGATGCTCGCACTCAACAACTTTTCCATTGATACCAACTCCAAGAACCTCAAGAAGAAAAACAATCAATGCGATAGAGGTTATGAAAACTTAGCTTAAACATGCACATGAGATATAAATTATATTTCTACTGTTGATCTCAAGTAAGTGCTTTCTAATTTAGAAATAAAATAAGACATCTATGTCCCATTATAATACGAAAACTTAAGGGGATAAGATAGCATAATCTTCGTCATTTAATTGGCACTGCCATTCAATTGACGACAACAGTTTTGATTGTTAACAAATTACCCGGCGCGTATTCCGAACTAAGTTTCAAAACATCAAACAAGGACGAGTTGAACCACATC